TTTTTACCTTTTAAATTCTTCAGTACACATTACAGTCCATTTGAATTCTCAATTTAAACTATCTCAATACATTCCAGGTACAACAAGGTCTTGGGAAAGCAGCCACATTCTGAGTACAAATGCCTGTCCCCTGCCAGCATGCTGTAGAGAGGGACTTTTGCTATCTGTGGGGGAGTAGTGGTCTCTCTGCAGAGGTCTGACACACCCCTTGATCAGTCAGAACTAGAGCTCTCCAATAAGCGTGAAGCATGAGTTTTTGTTACTTTTACACTCATTGCAATTTTATTTTTATGTACATCATTTTAATCCTTTTATGTGTATATAAAATAGCTCTTAGGATACATAAATTACTGTATTTGAATCTTCATTTGCACTTGTTTATTTTACAAGTAGTGGCCTTTTTCTAAGCCCACATACTCTGGATCATGAGAGGGAGGTTGCAGGGTATAGTGGATGCAGTCTCGCTCAGTTTGGAAATGTTTTTTCAAAGTGTATGTAGAGCCAACATTTTCTCCTAATGCAAGAGAGGTGGAATCTCTGTAGGGTTTTATTGCTGTTTGTGTTCCGCCTGTGGAGATTCACCCTACCTTATTGGTCCTAGTGACCATTGCCTTCAGTACACAAAATGAAGTTGAATCCAAAATGTTTTAGTTGTCATTGGAACAGGAGATGAAGAAATTCTTCCAATAGGGAAACTTGTTCTAGTGACAACTAAGAGGCAATATAATCGATCATTTTTAAAGGGTTCTCCTCTTATTTCCTCTCTGGGATAGAAAGTGAAGGGACGTCACCCTGAAGGGGCACAAATGAAAGAATAAAATGTCAAGGGTCTCAACCATTCCCTACTCTGTACAAAATTAAAAATCACATTTTGGCTCAGTTAGATTCAAATTGACTAGTAAAAGTTGAAGATATTTTGCTGCTCGTCTGAGTAGCTTCTTTGTTCTAATGAATGTTCTCTCTCTGCCAGCCATTGTCAAGTTGTCAATTAGAACACACATCTCAGGATTCCTTTTACTATTTTTGTTAGCCGGAAAAGCCTCTTCTGTTCATCCTTATTCTCTTTGTTATAAGGGTTGTGCCTTTCCTGGCTTCTGGGCTACAACTTGCCTACATGTTTGCACCTTGTCCAATAGGAGTACTCATAATGACCACAAAAACACTCTCATGGCACAAGGGGTGGCAGTTAACTATGTCTTAGCCCCAAATTTAAGGAAGCCAGGCTCCTAGGCACAGGGGGAAACCTAAACCAGAGAAGCTCAGACAGACTAAGGTCAAACACCAAAACAAGTGACTGGGGACCATCAGATACCAAAGTCTCTAAAGACAAGGATCCATTGCGCATGATGGGCTTCCCTCTCCCTAAACTTCCTACTACATTGGCAGTACTTGCCATAACCAGAGAACCATTGGGGAAGTCTGAGAAAGATTAAAGCGCATCTAGATAACTCTAAAATAAAAAAATAACCATAGGTTACGAAATATTAAAATTATGACATATATCAGTTACATTTAATTATATTTTACCTCTACCTTTCTATGATTCATAACCTAACTGTATCTTACAGACATGCACAATACAGGTCACAGCAACTCCAGGGAAGAGGCAGTTCATGATGGTAAGTCTAAAGAAAGTTTAATCCCACTCATCTAACCCTAGAGTCAAAGAGAAAATAAGAGGTTACATAATGTTGCAAGGAACTAAAATCAGCAAATATATATATTTTTTAAATCAGGTATATCAAAATGAAATGCATATGCTTTTTAAAATTATTTTCTGAGCTGTAAAGGTAGAATTCCACTTGGACAAATGAAAGGTGTGCTATGTTATAAGGGACATCTAGAAATGTTAATTGTACTTAAAGCAAACCTGTAAAAGATTTACCTTTTCTCTTAAATTCCTTGTGAAAAATAGTAGTGCGTGCCTCATAGCTGTACCTCTGCAGTATACACTGTACCTCTGATTGATTGCTAGTGGTATGAGATTTGGAGTGAGATTTGGTGATATCTCTATGTGTTGCTCACTGTTCTCCTTGCTGGAGAGGAAACTGTACCTGAGGACCTGCAGTGCAAGGATCTCCCTGTGTTTGCTTCATCCATTGGATCTATTCTTTTTACTACTCTCCTGCTGCTTCTTGAATATCCCCCCTCCAGTCATCAGGGGGCAGCTCTGACATGAGGAAGCAAAGCCGTCTCCACAAAGAGACAGAACAAGACACAGAAGTCAGCAATAGGAGAAAGATCACCTGCTGGGAGCCTACAGAAAAAAAAACTGGTAACTAGGTCTTTGCCATCTGCTTGCCTTTTTTGAGCACAGCTTCTACAGTACAGGTCCTCTTTAATAAACACACCAAGAAAACCTCCCATATACATTTTATGCAACAACTTTATTTGAGTCAAAATGCAATTACAATATAGATTGTCCACTAAGATCAATACATTGTTTACATAATATGCATTTAATAGTAACTACACCATTTGTGCTTGTATTCAGCCAAAAGTACAGCAAAATGTACAACAAATCAATGGACTAGGCAGATCACATCATCTATAAAGCCCTGGGTTAGTATTTACTACTAGTAGAGTCATTACTTGCTAATAAATTCTGTGTTGTTGATATGTTTTAGTTTTTTTTAAAAGATCAAAAACCAGGAACATTGACCACCCAATCACTGGTGGCTGATCACCATAAGGCCAGATTTAAACCGTATTGTTCATAAAAATACACCAGAACCTCTTTAATTCAATAGAAATACCTCACATTTCTGAACACGACGATTATATTATTCTGTGATCCAGACACTAAAACAGCCTGTTCTGAGATACACCAATAACATTGCATTGTACCAGGTTATAATAAAAAATACAGCTGTTTATTGACAGTTAAAAGGATGAAGATGTTAAACCAGGGGAGGCAGCCATTTTGGAAGCTGGCTAGTTGTGAGAATGCAACCTATTAATTCATTGGGGACAGCTGCAGGAATATACCTCCTGACCTTCTGAGAAGAGTTAGAGGAACACCTTGTAGCTCAAACTTCATATAGGCAAAATACACTCCACTACTACACCACCACAACAATCCTAGTCAATAAAAATTCAAGGGCAAAAAAATATTAGTTAAAGCCCAAATGTTTTCTAAGCCTCTTGCTCTTCCTCCTTCAGCCTCTTCCATGCTTATTTTTAAAAAACTGACTATATGCATACCTTAAATGTTGCAGTCTTGTGCTGATATCACAGGTCCCTTCGATGGTGGAGGGTGGTCCTTACTACTAGACAGCAGGACATTCAAATATTGACATATGAGCACTGTGCTGTCCTGAAGTACTGTGAGCGCGGGCCATGGTCATGATAGGCTGGCCCAGCAGAGAGAGGGTTATTACATCATGAAATATATTTTTATGAGTGCAAGTAGTACCTGAATTTGAGTTAACATCAGTTTTTTGCAATTCCCTGTACAAAAGAGCTCAGTTGGGAAGAGGGAGAAGGAGAAGGTACAAGGAGCCAGTCAGTTATGACAATCAAGAAGGAAAGAATAGAGAGATTTGGCTCCAAAACAGGTACATTTGGGAGATATAGGACAATACTTCTCAGATGAGATTGTAACGACAAGGAATAAAGAGGGGTTCAACTGTCTAAAGTGCTGTTAGGTTTTGGGGCCTCAGTGTAAGTGTGATACCCCTATATTCTGTCACATGATATGGGACAGGCTGAAAAGAAATGAACCTGGGCCTGATTTACCACAATGTGGAGGTCAAATGAACCTGTAGGCACTTCAAGCATTCAGTCATGTGCAGAGAAATATCCAAAATAGAGCTTCTCTTCACATGATGTTTGAAGTGCACACAGTTGATCTCACCCCATAGTAAACCAGGCTTATTCTGTGTATAATAATCACCCTTTCTCTTTCTCACAATGGCTGTTCCTGCCAATAAGGACACTTATTGATCACTCTCATTGGACATGCTATGGTTTTTTTGCTGTGTTGTTATAAGGCAAAATCCATGGACAAAAATGTACAATGTACAATGGTATATGCACGTTTCGGGGTCTTCAAATGCCCCCTTCATCAGGTATAAAACAACAATAAATTTTAAAACAGTAAATTAAACAGTACAAGTTTTAGCGCTTACTGTTCTTTTAGCCCTGACGAAAGGGGCATTTGAAGGCCCCCGAAACAAGTTGGCATACTTTATATAAGGGAATAAATGTCTTGTTTTGGCAACAAATAGTGGGTGCTTCATTTTTCTTCCTTATTGATTTGACTTATGCCACCCCATGTGGCCTTTTGATGTGTTTAAAGCTAAAGCTCCTTTCATAGACATTCTATAATACAATGGTTATTTGGTAATGTTGACATGTGCCGTACTATTTTTGTGAATAGTGAATTTTTAAGATAGGTCCACTTTAACATATCATAGTGTACGGTCATAGTCATCAAAGGGCACCTGGGCATTAAGAATTTTTGGTGCCCCCTATTTACCTATTGACCAAGTACAAATGCGTATTCACCTTGTTTAGATAGATACACACATGCAGGCAAAGAGTAGCCTTTTTCATTTCCGGAACACGGTCTAATGTGCAGCTGGGGTCAGACAGTAAGTATTACTCATAACCCAGCGCCCACCAGGCCCATATCTAGTATAAATGGACGCTTAACCTGCAGGCATTCCTTTTTTTTAATCTCTGGGCTTCTCCATAGCCACATATCTCATAAGCTCTTATGCCTGCGCATCATTAATAAGTCGCACACTCTGCTATGAACATTGGCTTGTGTTCCTCTTCCTCTGCGTTGGTGGTACACTTTTATTGTGCTTCAGTTTAACACATAATTATTTTTTGTGCTCTTAACTTATACATATATTTATATATATTTATATTCCCTGGAGAGTAGCTACAGTATACCATAGACTGTAAACATATACCACAGTAACTTGGTCCTCAATTCACACATACAGTGGAAATCACAACTCATCAAATATACATTGGGCAATGCTAATGTCTGCTTCTGAAAGATTGGTAAAAATACAAAGACTTCACAAGTGTTCCTAACCTACAAGAAAAAGATCTGAGTACTGTATTGACATGGGTATTACCGGGTTCACATGCACAAATTTGAATGTGGTGGGCTAGAGTCTAAGTCTGGAAAGGCTCTCAAATGTCCCAAAGTAAGTAGTTCCATACACACAGGTCCTCGTTTATGCTGGGTGAAAAACATTGTGAGTTCCGCATATTGAAATACCCAAAACTACAATGAATAATTCAACTCTGCACAATGATATGGCATATATGGTTAAAGTACAGCATCTGTTTCATGTAACTGTGAAAAAGTTATAGTATGGAGCAATAGTAACAGTGTCCAACCATACTGTACAGGATCATGCGAAAAAGAAAATGCAGGCAAAAGAGAAGTAACATCAAACACGCAATTTCTGAGATTAATGTAGCATGCGGGGGGTAAAGGAAACGGTACTATTAATAGCACAATAAATTAGCATTTTTTTGTCACATATTAGGGTGTCTAGGTAAAACACAAAGAACTGGTATTTTCTACATTACTGATCTTCACCGTTTCCTATACGTACTAGAAACCAGGATCCACCATCTGTACTGTGGCAGGTTCAAGAAACCGCACTGAATTTGAAAAACACGGTATCATTCCTCCTGGAATTATACCTTGTCAAGGTGTCTGTGGTCGGCACGGAGGAACACATTAAATCTGGTTGGCAAAAGATGTTGGGCCGGTTTGGTTATACCGTGTCTGGTTAAAGTTTTGTTGTCCAAGTCCGCCAGGCTGTCCAAAGCTTGGTTGCTGACCGAAGCCTGCTTGTGGTTGATTGAATGGTGGAGTTGGTCCATAGGGTTCTTGATTGTATCCACCCTGGTTTAAAGATTGGCTACCGGACTGTTTCTCAACTGGCTCTTGTGGATATCTATTCCCAGAAGCGTGCCAGCCTGTCTCCTTGAAGACAAACCATATGTTTCCAGCCCAAAGAATAAAATTCAAGAAGCCAAACACCTGAAAGTAACAAATAAAATGATATAATGCAATGTATACACATAGACAGAAGATTTAAGCTGGAAATTCAGAACCATAGTTAACATGGACAAACACCTCACGCTTTGTGAAAATGGTGTATCACGGGAGTGAGCTTGGAGCGGTGACTACTTTACAACACACACAGGGACCATGGAGAACAAAAGTAGCCACCCTCCAGAAGGAAGGACGTTGTCAGCACCAATTCAGAGATTATTTGAGGATCTACAGGCGAGTGATACACAAATGAGATACATTTTTGTTAATAGTCAAAGTACTTGAATGCATTTTTAGGGTTTATCTTCTGAGTTTAGTGTCACTTTAACTTTGTATACTGTAGCATTACCACTACCATTTACGTGAAACACTTTAACTCAATAATTTGGAGGGGTGTCCACATACTTTTGGCCGTGCAGTGTGAATGATGGTCAGGTGTCCATAAACGTTTGGACATATAGTGTAGTAGAAACCATAATGTGCCATACCTTACATCTGAAGCACAATTATCCTGCAGTTTAATGTTTAAGGCAATGTCTACCTATACATTGTTCTATCATATGTTTAGCTTGAACATCCCAGGTTTGTGATAGGGATTCTTTAAATTTGACTGGAAGCCTTTCTCATACAAAAAGCAGCATTTCCAACTCTAATTAGAAGAATGCATCAGTTCACTGATTGATCCTGGGAATTATTCTGACTGCTGTTGACAAAGTTCAGGAACATTTTTCCCTTTGGGAGGATAAACTGTCAGCTGCAATATTGTAGTTTTGCTTTTTTTTTGCCTTATTTCTGGATCACCAGTATCAGACTAAGAATTGTGAGGACTTCATGAACATTGATTTAAACTATTTTACTGTATTATCAACAAAATCTAGTACAATAAATATGTACAAAGGCTTGTATAGGAACGGTCAGCCTTTTTCTACTCTTTTTAAATAAAAGGGCGGCTTTATAAAAACTGGAGTTTAAAAAAAATGGCACTTCAGGTACCTATAGTGACCACACAAAATGTTTAGAGGGTAGCTAGAAAGGCTTGAATCTGATTGGTTGCCATTAGAGACACTTCATTTTTCCAGTAATTCTAAATGATTTTATATTCAGATGTTCCCAATAAACCCTCAATTAAAAAAAACATAAACTTACACAGAGAACACCTGGTTGGTGTTGGGATTGGTGCTCCTACAGAAACAGGATGTTTCATCTCCGCCAGAGAACACCCCAATATAATAAAGCATTTATCGGCTTTGTGCTGTCCTGCAGAGATGGTGTATAGTGTCACCTTTCAAGTTCAAATTGAATTTGGTGATGAATGAAGATGTGAGTGACTCCCTCATCTATTATTCATCTCTGTGGTACATCTGTCACACGCCTGGCATTTATATTCAAATTATTGAGTGTCACAGGAAAATGTAATCTTAAATGCTTTGTAGATTAAATTTCTAGACTGTATGTGTTCTGGGGGGGATTATAATTAGTAACCTTGACATTGCGTGATTTATTATGCCTAACCCATTTCAGCGTCTCCAGAAGTGTAGATGTTCCTATATCTGGGTAAAATATTTTGTTTAAAGGTGCTTAAAAGATGTGTAATTATAATGTTCAAGAATCCAGAAAAACACATTAAAACAAAACTCATGGCAAACATCGAAATACATAGATTAAATATATTTAAGAAGCTGTTTTGCCTACCAAAGGATTTACTTCTATCCATACCGTCCTAAGATTTACACAGTTCTGCTACACAGAATCTAGCTTACTGCAGCCAGTGGACGTTGATGTGACCGGAGGCAGTTGTGATCTGAGTCAGGGTGGTTGTCTCCTGTTTAACCGACAGTGTGGCTTTTGGCCAGTGCGATGAAACTTTATGCTTGCGAGTACATATCCTCTTTTTTTACCCGTTTAATAAAAGATTTTACACACCGAGGCAGGGCCGGATTTACTCTCTTTGCTTCCCCAAAGACAGGTTCCACAATGCGCCCCCTCTAACCGGTACACTCCCGCCCCCCATGGAGAATGGCAGATCTGCAGGCGGCATACAAGTGATCTTGTCAACATCACCAGGATCACTTGTACCAAACAAGCGGCGGCTTCACCACTGTACATTTAGCTCTGCTTGCCCAAAGCAGGACTAAATGTAGAAAACAACTACCCGCCCGGAACTGCATGTCCCGGGCATCAGGAGATAGATATTCCACACCCCTGCTGCCCCGAGGCCGGGCCCTGGTTGGCCTTGTGGGAAATCCGGCCTGCACGGAGGTGGCGCTCTGTCTTTCTGTTTTCTATGTACACAATGGGAACCCCAGAACCTTTTTGAATGAGCAGCCCTTCAAGATCGTGTGAAGATTGATGTACCTAAGCAGCAGGCGTGTTCTTTGACGGCAACCGTTAGTGCCAAGAGGCTTAATAACTTTTTTTCTGCTACACGACACGGTCAGGTGGATGAGACCACTCTCTGTTACAGTACAGGAATACAGTGGTGTCATCTCTCTATCCCCAGCTTGCTGATTGGACAGTAAAGAAGCAGCAGCAGACTGATGAGGTCATCTCTGTGCTCTCTCATCCTGCCCCTGCCTTTCCCAGTTTGAGTGCTGCTGTACAGGGGATTGCAAGAATCTGATATAGAGCAAAATACACTAGTTGCTTTTAAAAAATACATTGAATTATGGATTAGTGATTTAATTTAGATTTCTCATTAATTTGTATATAATGTAACTGCCTCGAGTTCAGCTTTAAGGAATTGTTTTAACTGTCAAAAAAGAAGCTTTAGGTAAATTAAAGACCATTACAGCGAAGAAGATTGAGGTCTGATAAATGTATGGAGTTAATAGTTGTAATGATATACACACAGAAGGGAATTTACACACAGAAGGGAATTTACACACAGAAGGGAATTTATCAAAACTGGAGCAGGGAAAATCTGGAGCAGCTGTGCATGGCAACCAATCAGCTTCTCTCTTTAATTTTCAAATCTTAATTGAACAAACTGAAGAGAGAAGCTGATTGGTTGCCATGCACAGCTGCTCAAGATTTTCTCTGCTGCAGTTTTGATAAATTTCCCCCACAGTATATACAATTTCACATGCCTTTATTTATATTCTTCTCCACATTTACATGCCAACCAAGCTATCCAGGAGAGTGACAGTTACAGAGGTTGAAAAAAGCCAAATAATACTGCCCGGAGGTGCTTACAAAAGGTCAGCTTTTATGCATGTTGGTTAAACCTTTCCTTGAAATGTAATGTAATGACGTGCTGTCCGGCTTCCTGATACAGGCATTCTCGGGCTAGGCATCGGATCGGAGCATTTGTGCGAGTACGAGTACTCGCCCAAATACTTGGTATCGGCACCAATATCGAAACTAGTATCAGTGCATCCCTAGTCTCCAGCACTAGGGGCAGTTATGTGCACAGTCTGTGACAGCCTCTTGCAACCTGTTATCAGTTTTTGACAGTCTAATATAACAGGTCAGAAGGCTATAATAGTTTTTTGAACCCTCATGCAGGCTCTTGGAACACGGGAGCAGTAGTATTGGGTTTAATAGGCAAAACAGAAGTTAGCTTTAAAGGAAAACAAGAGATGGAAGTATAATCTCATGTTCTCTGATGATATGGGACAGACATGTGAGTGGTAAATCAAGTAATAGTTGCAGTGAGGAGCAAAATGCATTTTATGGTTTTCAACAGTGTCCGTGTCATGAAGACAGGGGAGGATAAATTCAGCAAATGCTGGCCAGAGCTGAAGGAAGGGGAAGGGAGGCAAGTATTTACTTGCAATACTTTCTATTAATGTAATATTTATCTCATGCCAATAGCAATATTCATCTTCTAAGCGTGGCTATCATATAGAAGCCTGCTGCTGCTGTACATTGCCTATGCGATCGATGAACACAGACAGATCGGTATAATATATGACAGGTTGGGGGGGTTGCTGTGTACATTGTGCGGTACGAACATAAAGTGCTACTGCCTCCACTCTGTACTGCCAACTAAAAAAAACAAAACTGGATTATCCTTTATTATACATACATTATTATTATTATTATTATTATTATACAGGACTTATATAGCGCCAACAGTATGCCAAGTGCTTTACAATATAAAGGGAGGCAGTAGAGTTACAATAAAAATCAAGACAAGAGGGTTAGCAGAGCCGTGCTCACATGAGCTTACAATCTAAAAAGGGTTGGGCAAGTGATAGAAAAAGGAAATAACTGTGTGGGGATGAGTTGATGAAGAATGTAAAAGTTCAGTTGTTAGGCTGAGGTGGGAAAGGAGAATGGCCAACCTATTCAGTAACGCAGTACAAAGTGCTGTAAACCATGGTTATCAATAAGCTTTAATATGTCAGTTTACATCCAGCATAAGAAAAGATAACTACTGTCTGGTTGCTATTGGTTGCTGCAGTTTGCATGTGGATCTTTGTTAAATAAACTGTCCATTTGTTTGTTTTGTAACAGGGACAGAGAATACTTCAAGAACCCTTACAAAATCTGTTAATGAATACCATGTACAAAACTATTTCTATGTCTTAAAATGCGTCTTGAAATATTACATTTACAGAAATTTTGGCATTGGGTTTTTAATGACAACATAGTGTTCAAGCAACAATAACTGGAACTCTCCCAGCAGTGCATGCATTAATTCATGTGCAGCCTTCTCTAAATGGAAAGCAATAAAATATTTTTGGATTCAAGTCTAAGCTCACATCAGTGAATGAAACACAAAATACAAGATGCAAACAGCCAGAACTACTATGTATGATGCTGCATAGGGAGTGTCCTAAAGGTTTAACCTAGGGTAAAAGAATCTAAACCCCAGAGCTGTGTGGACCGCCATGGATCCTCAATCATCAGATCTTCAGTAAACAAAACACTCTGGATGGCTGCTGTCTAAGGCCCGGTTCACACCTGGGCGTTTTGTAGCGCGTTCCTACGCTCTGCAAAACGCTCAAACACCGAAATTCAATTATTTCCTATGGGTATTGTTCACACCTGGGCGTATTACGGGCCGTATGAACGCACTACAAAACGCCCTACGCCCAAAGAAGTACAGGAGCTTCTTTGGGGCATATTTGCCGCGCGTATCCATTGATATACAGCCAGGTAGGCCTCGGAAATGTGCGTTTGTCGCGCAGGTTTTTTACAGCAAATCACTGTAAAAACGCACGACAAACACGCATATTCGATACGCCTAGGTGTGATCCAGCCTTAATAGCAAATGGAAACTTCCTCAGAGTGAAGAAAACAAGAAGACACCGCCTACTCCTATGGTGATAATGTTTAATGAAATTGGAATCAGAATCAGTGCTTCTCACATATTCCATAAGGAAAACAGCATAACGTACACTGATGCAGTACACAGAGATCCAGAGGTATGCCAATCCAAAGGTCTTTACCAGGTTGTCCAATGGTGAGGCTTGAAGGGGTTTTCCATTACATTCTGAAAGGTAGTCCCTGGATTTTTTCCCTCCTTCTATCTAATCTTTGTTTTGCCAAGATCTCATAAGAGATGTAAGATTTGCCTTCTGGCCACTGGGAGCACAGTCATGCTATGGAGCTTAGATAGGCCTGAGGACTTTCTCATTGATTTTGTGTGACAATGCCTCAACATGGTCTTGTGGGAGGAAGGGGAGTGGGTCACATGCTCCTCATTCAAGGAAGTACCAAGCATTCCTTTTTGCTCCCAGGGGTTGGAAGGGACAAAGGGAAGGTGACTGATTATGTGCAGTTGGTGGAGCTGCAAATGAAAGTTTACCTGCTGCCTTGATATGAATAGGCATAGCACAGATTCACTTTAAATGTAACCCCCCAATCCCTAACCCGTAACACCAATTTAAACTCTGCTAACCTAATGCTCTACTTCTCACACATGGGTTGATTAATTGCAAATAAAGTCTAAAGCAGCACCACTTGCCCTATAACTGGCACTAAATAGGGTCTTGAAACAAATGCCCCCTTTAACTCTAAACTTGGAAACCTCCTCCAAAGGCTGCATGCCTATAGCAGTGTCAGGAAAAGGTCCTCTGGCGTCCAGCCGGAAATGTCAGAATGCCACTCTTCCAGCATAATCTGCTAGACTGAAATGTCAGTTTGATAGCTCAACCTTGCATAGTGCAGGAGGAGGCCAGGATGATGTGGAGGCAGTAGAGGTTCTGGCCTTAGCTGTGGGAGGTGGAAGCCTCTTCTGCCATGCCTCATCCTTGGCCTACAGGCTCTAGTTGTGCAAAATTGACCCCATCAGCTATTGTTGGTCATGTCTATTTCAAACAAAGAATAGAAATTCCTGCTTATTTCATTCTCTGCTAAGAAAAACGTAACAATTAGTGTTCCTACTAACTTTGTCATATTTAATTCTCCCTAAAAAAAACTAACCTTTGCACCTAACTTTTTCTACATTTACTTATTAGTCAACGTGACTTTTAAAGTAATAAAAGTCATATCTACGAGTCATGGCATGACAGAATGGTAATACAATGCTTGCAGTCTTCTCCCTCCGCCCTTTTGCCATCTGAAACCAACTTACCACTGAAGTATTCAGGCTTGACATGACAGGACCTCGCACTGAGGCACATTTGTTTGTTGGCTGTTTGCAAGCGGATATCAGTAACAGAATTTCATCGGGATCTGTGGCCACTTTTACATCAGAAAGACCTTTAGCCCAGGAGGACGAGCTCACCAGCCACATGAAGGAGAAGACAACAGTTACGATAAAATCCTAGGACAACAAAAGCATGTTAGATTTTTTTTCACGTATACGAAGATAAGCTCATGGCACTCTCATGTCATTTATAAAAGACAAAACAAAAAGAGCTTTCACAAATTGCAGTTAGAAAGTATTATGGTGCCCAAGACATCAGATGTTTGCATATATATCCTGTCCTATATTAGAAAAAATAGAGTTCTTTTGTTTGGATATTAGAGCCCAATTGATTTTTAAATCAATTGAAACAATTTCAGGTGCATCAAAACAAAAGGTGGGCAAAGTTTACAGTTTGTTTCTTTAGAAGGCCCCTTTCACATGGGCGGTCCGATCGGGTCCACCTGTTACTTTTTAAGGGGGACCCGACTGGATGCCCAATGCAAGTCTATGGGCAGTCATTGGTATACGGACCGGCTTCTGTTCTACCCCCAGTTTTCCCCCCGCCCCCCCCCCTCCAGTCTGTATAAAACCATATAGAACAGTGTTCTGTTTCAACAGACTGGATCATGTCAGATCGAGGGTAATCCATTACAAGACGGAGGGAAAAACTGTACAGGCACGGATGTCACAGCAATGACATCCGCTCCATACTGCTCTAATCAGAAGAGGATCTGTGCACGGATCCTCTCCTGAACAGCCTGTGTGAAAGGTGCCGAAAGACCCCCTATCAGTATGCTGCAGAGAAGAGCCCTTTCTCTCTGTGAGGAAGCAGTGGGCTCTCTGCAGATATACTGTATATAGTTACCAATCTTTATGAATGTTTTATGCCTTCTTTCTGTATTGTTGTATGTATTATTTTGCCTTTTTTCTTTCCTTGCTCTCTGTGTGGAAGTAATGGTCTTTCTGCAGAGGTCAAACATTTCCCCCAATAAGTCAGACCATCCCTCTTAGGACAGCTGCCAATCTAACACCTTTAAGCCAATACGTAAGAGATGGAGAGGGAGTAAGCGATATGAGTAGACACTATCGGATCTGCTTCTCTCACAGGAGAACAATAACCATTGTTATTATACTCTAGCCGGTCCAGTCAATGGTCCCCAGTCAATGTCCATTGGACCTGCCTACCACCAGATATAAGGTTGTCACCAAATCTGGCTACAATTGCCTGGACCAGATTACTGTCATCAAATATTTATCGATTAAATCAAAAGAATCACAATTAATCAGCTTTTGATTTACCTGAATATTTCCCCCAGAGATCTGTGACCTCAGGAGAATTATGGAAATTAGGAATTAATTCAATCACAATTCATAAATTGTTTGGTTCTCTGTAGATCTGACAAATCTTTTTAAATAAATTCCAGGGTATCACAACATTTGTGATCCATCAAATTGCTCATCATGATTAATTGTGATCTTAGTACAGAATATCTGAGAGATTTCTTTGTTTAGACACTTTGAATACAGGGGTGCACCATCCACCAGTTCAGGAAAAAGAAGCAAAGATGAGTAAAACTCAACATGGTTGGTTGCTATGTATAACATACATGGTTTTCCCATTTTTTTACAAAGTCAGCCCTTATTGTTTGTCTTCTCTGCAGCTCCTACCAGTGACAACAAGTCGTGTGTGCAACGCAGAGTGCTGATGAACACATGCATAGCCACTTGGCGTAATGATGTTGTGTGAAGCCTCCAGCACTTTGCAAGCTTCAGTGATAGATGTCTTGCGCTGTCTTCATGCCGTGTCTGATGTTCATATAGAAATCATTATCTGTGCTGGGGGGGTCCCCATTTTCCTTCCTGGCACAGCTGGGCAGCGGTGAAAAGCCGAAGACATTACTATTTTTAGGATCACAGATGCCACTATAGAAATACAGGTATGGCACCTCGTATCTCAAATGTGCCAAACACTAGAAAGAAAAAGCAGCACATAAGTCTGGCTTTTCTGCAATACTGTTACATTTATTAATAAGGTCACCTGCATATCTTTCCTGAATTCATTAGGCCTATTTATAATAACTACTATAAAAATAGTGCTGTTCTCATGCCAAACAGTTAAAGTAGATGTAGCCTCTATCTGAATATTAAAGGATATTTCCACTTTTGCAGTCAAATGTGAGAAAAGCCCACTATAGGTTTGTTTCCCCCCTAGAAAGACTAGGGACATTCTGAGCTTCCTCTCATAAACATCTAGCTCTTTTTTAGGACAGACATTGTTTCAATCTAATCTACAACTTATAATGAGATCTGCCACCCCAGTACAAACAGGGATACTTATGTGTTAAAGTAACACTAAACTCAGGAGTTATGTCATAAGAATGCATTCAGGTACCTTAATTATTAACAAAAATGTATCTTATTTGTGTATCTCTTGCCTGTAGATCCTCAAATCATCTCTGAATTAGTGCTGGCACTGTCCTTCCTTCTGGAGGGTGGCTACTTTTGTTCCCCTTGGTCCCTGTGTGTGTTGTAAAGTAGCCACCACTCCAAGCTCCCTCCTGTGATGGACTATAATCTCGATACAAATTAGTAAACTAAAGAGGATATTGTAGTCCACCATGGAAGCAAGCTTGTGGCGGTGACTACTTTACAACACACACAGTGACCATGGGGAACAAAAGTAGCCCCCCTCCAGAAGGAAGGACAGTGTCAGCTCCAATTCAGAGATAATTTGAGGATCTACAGCCGAGTGATACACAAATAAGATACATTTTTGTTAATAGTTAAGGTGTTAGAATGCATTTTTAAGATTTATCTCCTGAGTTTAGTGTCACTTTAACATTAACCTGTCCAGAGTGACAGAAAGATAAGCTCATCACTTTCCTGCTTTTCCTAGGGAAGGGCAAGAACTGTAAGTGTTAATTACCTGCAGATAAATTAGGTCTCCTGTCCTTCCGTAAAGGGATAGGCTGTATGAAAGAGCTGTGTAAATCTCAAAACTGGATTGACAGGAGTACTAATCCTTTGGCAGGTAAAACAGCTTCCTTATATGTATTTCATCTGTGTGTTTAGCCAACAATGTATACCGTACATCACTATTAAAGGAGAACTATGGGGTCAGGGCTTTTCCCCATAGTTCTCCTTAGGGTAACGGGAGGACACAAACTAGCGTCCTCCCGTTACCCTAAGCTCAGTATACCGCGAGCTGTAGCTCGCGGTATACTGAGACGCCGCAGCCGGAGCGGATGCCAGCTGTCCCCCGTCCGTTCCGTCAGTCAGCGCTGGCGGATCGGAGCGGGGAGGGGGGAATCCAGCCCCTCCCCTGTCACGGCAGAGAGCCGTGACAGGATCGAGAGGTGAGAGAACACCGGCATATGTTTGCTCACCTCCCGATCTACTGAGCCGACCTGTGACAGTCTCATTGTCTCAGGTCGGCTAGAACTATGAGGTGAGTGAAAAGCACTCACCTCATAGTTCTCCTTTAACTCTACACTGATGACCTGTACAGACTTTCAAAGCAGTACCGCATTTTGTCACCGTTTCATGGATGCGTGCAATTTTTAAACTTGGCATGTGTGGTATCTATTTACTTGGCATAACCTCATCTTTCATATTTTACAAAAAAAATGGGTATTATTATGTGTTCTTGTACACTAAAGTTAACTTTAAATATAATTTCTACTGAAATTTTGGGATTAAGAGTTGCGCTAATATCATAATATTCAAAATTTGCATCCGCTGCAATTTTATTCTACAGAGTCTCTGCTTTCAGGAAATATATACTGTAACTTGTATGGGTTTTAAGTAATTTCAGACCTAAAATGTGGATTATAACTTGCGTGCAAAACAAATGCCAACAAAAAAGCAGTGAAAAGAAGTAAAGTAAGGTAAAAGAAGTAAGCCTGATGTAAGTGATCTTACTAATGACTGCTATGTTTCTATGTACAGTTTGTAATAGTACAAGGAGTAAGCCATTTTTGCACATTACATAGTTCCTGCCCCCATAGGCAAACTCTCAGTGCCATCTTGGAGATCTAAGGGTATGTGACATCACTTTAGCTCAAAGGTCACTCATTTTACTTATGTATGGAGCCTTGTGGGCTGAGAAAAGCATTTTACCTTGGGGTCCTAACTAATATGTGGACCTTGCATTTTGATGCATGGTCCACTTTAAATTGTTAAATTATTATAGACACTGGGGAATTGTTGCCTGATCCAGCCAATTACATTTGAATTGGGAAAAGACTGAATATCTATGAGCAGTCTCTCCTATTTGCAGACAGTGTTTCTTTTTAATCATCTGATTTAAAATTGAGCCGTACAACCGAATACACTGATGGGAGCATCCAAAGCCTGGCGCCTCTCCCGCCACTTAAAAGCATGCAACATAAGCCGGTTCAATTATCCAATAAAGGTATCACTTTAGTTCTCGTATTCTTCTCTCCCATTATTAGCATAGGTGTTCTGCTCCTCCACTTCCCTATTAGTCCCTTAACCTGATAAAACAAATTAAATATTTATTTACGTGAGCAAGCATTCGCTGTTGTTTACACCACCGACGGAGGACTTTAATTATGATGCTGGGCTTATTAGAATCCTCTGACATCAGAATGAAATCAGACTCTTTGGAGTACAGCGTGAGGCAATCATTAATGAATGAATTAATTCTGCTTGGCAGCTATGCAGGGACCGAGAAAAGATATTGTAATAACGCCCAACACCTACAGATACTGTACTGATTATTTCAGCATAACCTTTTTGCAGCATGGGCTCTGGAGCACAACAGCAGCCTTTAAAGTAAATTGTATTATCTGCTTTTACTCTGCATTGCTTTTTGTTATATTAGCATTCCATCTTTGAATGTAGATGTTTACTAACTATGAGATAACCGAGGAAAATGTCAACTGACTTTGAAGACATGACATTTTTGTTGGCTTGGACTATTTCCATTGAAATAGATCTAAATCCCAACTAAATGACATTTAGTTTGCTACAGTACCACATCTCATAAACAAGTAGTATTTACTGATTTCACATTTTTATATCTTTTTTTTGCATTTCAGTACTGCTTATCTCCTCCCAGCCTCTTGCAGTCAGTCCCTGTCTAGAGGCATTCACTCCAACATTGGCTGCAC